CCCGCAAACTGAGGGGAGACAGGCAGCGCCCGTGAAAGCGCTTGCGGCTGTACAGAGGTTTTCATTGTTGTTATTTTAATTTTTTTTTTTTATTTTTTTTTTTACAAAAAGACACCCTTCTGGTCTGCCTTACAAAAGAGATGTACACAAACCTGTACTAAAAACAACAAAAAAGTTTTCCCAGAAGAAATGGGAAATAAGCGTGTATAAATATTCTCTCTGAGTTCTTAAAGCTTCAATTCCCGGTTTGCCTGCTCGGCGCTTCCTTCGGCCCGGGGGTCCCGAGGGTCCCAGCACCTCGGCCGGGCCTTATTGCTCACATCAGCTTCCAGGGAGTTGAGAGTCACGGGCCGCGCTCCGCTAAAGGACCCTTGTTACCAGCACGTGGACATCCCTTAGCGGAGTCACCGACAGCTTTCTTTTTAGCAGTAGCTAAAAAAAGCCCACCCAAATCCCAAATTAAAAACCCAACCCCCCTCTCTCTCGCTACCCACGTTCTACGTAGAGTCACAGAAATCAAGGCACTGCGCGGTAAAATTAGTGTCTCCTCCCGAAGCATGGCAGCCTCTTGGAAATTGCACGTTATGGGTTTGGGGTTTTTCTGCCTTAATTCAGTTAACTCCTCGCTGTTCCTCACTCACCCCAGAGGGACACGGCCAGGTGCCACCGCTGGAGCTCAACCCTCATGTGTCCAGGGCTGCCCTCGCCCGGCAGCCCCATCCCGCCTGGCTCAGAAATAGGAGGGTTTGAGCCCCGGGGTGTTGTTGTTGCTGGGGTAGTGTGACTGCATGAGCGGGACCTCGCACTCGGAGCCGCCGGAAAGGATCGCCGCCTCCGGCACCTTGCAGCCGTGGCTGCTCAAATCCCCATTTTCCAGGCAGGCTTTCACCCCTTCCAGCTCCAGCGGGCTGGCATCCACCCCGGGGCCGGCGTGCGCCTTCGCCCGGCGGTGCCGGCGGTAGTACGTGCCGGCGGTCACCACCACCACCAGCAGCAGCACGGCGGCCAGCGCGGGGACGATCATCAGGGTGAGGTTGCTGTCCTTGCTCTGGGTGACGGGGGAGTGCTGCTGGTGGCTCACCGGCAAGGTCTGCGCCTCAGCGCAGTGCTCCTCCTTGGAGACCTTCTCCCCCAGGGGCCCGATGCAGACGCGGTAGGTGGAGTTGGGCTTCAGCGCCCGCACCGTGTACTCGGAGAGCGAAGCCGGCAAACGCAGCATCACCGGCCGCTTGTCCGGTCCGGAGAGATTTCGGTAGCTCAAGCGGATGCCCTTCAGCTGCGCTTTGGACTGGACATAGTTCTGCAAGTCCACTTTGAGGGAGGTGCTGCTGACCTGCGCGATGCTGATCCGCCGGCCGGGCGGCGGGGCCTGCGTGGCCGGGGACAGCGTCGTCCCCCTCGCCTCTACCTGGCAGTACGTCCCGGTGAAGCCCGCCGGGCACAGGCACTCCAGGTGG